TGTTTTTGTCTATTTCCTTTTAACGTCAAATAAATTGATGTCTGTCATTCAGGCCATTCTTTAGCAGCAAATTTCATAGTAAAACTGCACTATATAAAGAACTTCCTTTTGCCATTTCTAAATTGCCCATCATTCAGCTTCTTTGGGTATTCTTTGTTTCTACCATTAACAGAGATAGTCAGAATAAACCAGGATTAAGTGGAAGAAGATGCAGAATTTTTCTCAATTTTATAGCAATAACTGTTTGTTCTATAATATGTGATATAATCCCTGCAACAAGCCTTTACACTTAGTGAACTGTTTTTACTGGCAAGCCACTCAGGATGGGGAGGCGGGGTCTCCTTCTCAAAGTTTCTAACTAAAAAGCTCAATCAGCATTTCATTTTAGCATTACATATTAAGAGAACTATAGAAGCTGAAAAGGAAGGATTGGCAGAGTTTTTACTTAAATGTTAATGAAGAAGGAAAGTGGACATTGGAAATGGTTCTCAACCATCTACATGTTTTTGAGAAGTAGTATTTTAAACCATAGAGAAATGAGATTTGGGGAGATCATTCATGTTAAAATATTAATGAGATTTTCAGGAAAAACTGGGGGGGGTCATATTCAGGTCAGGAGGCAAAAACAATGTATGTTGGGGAAGTCATAAATACAAAGCTGATAGCAGAATCCATAATAAGATCAGTCAATCTAAAGTAGAGATGAACAACTGGTAGTTCAGATGTTGCTGGCAGTGTCCCTCACCATTGTTTGTGCTGCCTAGGGATGATGTCAGTTGCAGTCCAACAACTTCTGGGGGTGGGCCCACAATTTGCCCACCCTGGTGAAGTGGGACAAAAGGTCAGAGGCATTGGGCTCCCTTAGTGAAGGGAGAAGTGAAAAGGTAAGGGATTCTGTGTGCTGTTCCAACCCAAGGAAGGACTGACCTTTTTGATACTGTAATTTTCACACTGGCTGGATCACATACTCAGGTGGTTGCTGGTAACACTCAGGCATTTTTTTAACTTTTTAAAATACAGTAAAATCCTAGGCACGTCTCTTTGGGAAGGCATTAACTTGAAAAACAACCACATCCATGTATTTTGGGATTGTTCCTCCTTTTTTGTTCCAGCCAGAACCTCATTTGCTTCAAGCTTTTGTTACATAATTCAGATGTTTAGTTATAGGGTTGCTTAGTTCTAATTGAAGCTCTGGGTTCCTACTGGTAAAGCATAGGTTCACATGAAGTGGGTGTGTTTTTTTCTGTTAGTAGTCTGGTTTACTTATCCATAGTTACACATAAAATAAATAATGAGGAGAATTTGGTTGAAATGAACAAATAGGATTTTTATTGAGGGATCACAGGTTAGAAGTATGAAGGCAAATTTCTAGGATGTGAATTTTAAAAGTTAAAATGTAAATATAATGCAAGTTCAAAATAATTACGCGTGCGTGCTGTAGGTGCTCTAGAAAGACTGCTAGTAACCTCTTATCACAGACCACTTTTTCTAAAAGATGGTAATACAAACTTCTGTGTTCACCTCTCTCTGCTGTCTGCCCAATTCTCACTAAACTGTCGTCTTTTAACTGACATAGAGACTTCACTCCCGCACCATTCCAATCACACTAATCAGTCAGTATTCAGTCCTTCAGCTGCCTATCCAGTAGGCATACAATACGATTCTCATATAAATCTTATATAATTAATTACAGAAACATTTATACATAGAGGCTCAAAATGGGCAGGATCACCACACGGAATGAAACTGAAGAGGCTGATGCAAAACAGAGTCACACAATCGTATGGGACTTGTTTGTTATACTATAGCTTAGACCTTTTCAGATTTCTAGTCCGTTCTTCTTTATTGGTAGAAACTCTCACTGATATTCCGCTTATTGGGCCCCATTCGGCTTAGTTTTTTTTCTGATTAACATCAAGTTCACATTTGTATCCAAACATGATCTTCTGGTTAGGAAATGTGAATAGATGATAAAGATTTTGAGACGACTCAACTACAAGTATGAATCTGTTCTCTCTCTTTTTGGATCTTCTTGCAGAGATAAGGTGTGTCAGCTACTTTCAGCCATTCACTTGGAAAGGAGTGCCCCTAGCTGCTGCCAGCCTGCCTGTGTTTGAAGACCAAAGTGTCTGGACAAGAAGAGGCTGTCAGGATTCCCAAAATTCTGGGGTCTAGACAATGTGCACACACTGTAATTTCTTAGAATCTAGAAAGAGAGTTTAGGAGGACTTGTCCTGTTCAAGTACAAAATTAGACTTCCCTTTGGTATGAAAGGCTTGGGCATAGAGGGATAGTACAATGATCTACTTGGGCAACATTAAGTGATAACCATAACCAGATACTCATGCAGTTGATTAGCGAGCAGCCATTTATGTGCCACGCCTGTATAAGTGTGTGGACAAGGGATTGGGGAAAGTCAGAAAAGTAAAGATTCTGTAGGAAATACAGTGAGCTCTCTAGTAAAGTGTGATGCAGTCACAAGATGATAAGGTCGTAGGATATTCTTGCAAGGGGAGACCTTTCAGCATATTAAGCCATTTATTCTATTGCTTGTTTCAAGAGGAAATGTTCCCCAAACTACCTCATCCTTGACAGGAAAAGTCAAGAACATTTTGTTCTGTGTCATCTTTAATTGGTATGTCAAAACTTGATAGAATACCTTCTCTGCTTCTTAGTTAAATTTTTTTCCCCTCCTAACATTTTAATGCCTTTTCCCCCAGAAAGTATGTTGAATTTTGGTGTTTTTAACATTGTGCTTCAAAGTGTTTTTGCCAATGTAGAGTAAAGCTATACATAATACAGTATCTTAGGAATAAAGCCAATGTAGCCTTTAATTTTTTAAAAGTCTTTTAAAATATTACACACTATTACTTCATCATGCAGTTAATTGCTCATTCTAGTCTGAATATCACCCAGCAAGGCATCCTCATTATGGTTTGTAACTTTGTAGTTTGGATTGTACAGTCTTTTCCATTTGTCACTGTTCAAATTCCCCTGATTGCTCTTGAGAGAGCTGGGCAATTTAAGTCTGCTTTGCTTCTTTCTCAGTGTTACATCCTTCCAATGAATCTGGCGCTCACAGTCAGTGAGCCACTCTTTGACCTGGCAGGGAGGCTTGTTGTCCCACCTACTCCCAGGAGTGGCGAGCCGATTGTGAGCTCCGGAGTCATTGGAAGGATTGGGGCGATTAAAAAGGAAGAGTGTCTTTGCCTTTTAAAAGCTGCTTGTCTTGTTTGACGCCATACTTGTGTGGCTAGACTATTGAGAATGATCATTTGGATTGGCTTGCTTTCAGTGAATTCTGAACTTGCTCACCTTTTTGAAAAAACGTCTCAGAAACCTATCATATGTCAGAGGGGATTGTACTTTAACAGAATGAATTCATTAACAATGAAGAAATAAGTTCATATCAGCCTGTCTCAGATGCAAACACAAGCACCCCACTACATTTAGCGAGCATTGCGAAGAGAAAAGGGCACAGGGAAGGTCTGATCTGTCTACTACAGGACCATACTTGACCCTCTTTTATGACTTCTCCCATTCTACTATAAGGTCTTCTAGGCTCCTGATGGTGGCAGTTTGGAGGCTGGGGCATGCAGTATCAAGAGGGATGAGTCAAAAAGCAAGTTTTCCTTGAACAGTTCTCTTGCTGCTTCATTTGTTGTCCTTTAGCAGCCATTTACTTCTCTGGGAGGAAATGAACATACTGTATGTGCTTGCATCCCTCTAAACTGTTATGGCCCAATACTTCCCTCTTTCTCTGAAGATCCAGTATTCTTGTAGGGACAAGTTCCTCTTGTAGCCCAATCAAAATCTTCCCACTTGCTGATTGTTTACTTAATTCCCCAGAACTTTATGAAGCTCTTCACAACTCTGTTTTCTGATTCTTGGGCAAAATAATGTTAATACTGAAACTGCGTGCGTAACGTCCACTCTGTCTAGCTCAACTTCTGTTGCAGTGATCATTGGAAAGAGAAGACCTGTCTGTTGCAAATATGGATGGGGTGTGGATTCTATGCAGAAGGTCTCAGTCATTAGAAGTCCCATTGTGGGAGGGGATAGATTGTTACCTTCACCCTGACAATGTCAGGTTCAGCATGCTACAGCTTCACATATGGATTTATGGCAATTTGCTTGTGTGAAATGGGGGGAAAATATGCGTTATTCTTAAGATGGAGAGGTAAATTTGTTTCTTGTCCTTATTTTGTTCGCAAATACTAACTTTGGCCATCGACCTGGCTTGTGCTAGCAATGTTTGTCTCTTAAAGAGTTCAGCAGAAGAGGCAGACCATGTGGCAAGTAATGACACAGCTTGCTTTCACATGCTAAAGTGACAGAGGTGGTCTTTTGAATGAGTATGATGATGATAAAAACCTGCAAGAAGTTTGTAGCTGAAGTTTTCTGATGTTTATGCTTGACACCTTACCTACATTGCATTTTTGTTTTCAAAAAGGAGACATTAAACAGCTGTTTCCGTATGGTGCTGAACAAACTGACAGTAGCAATATTATGCAAGTAGACTATTAAAAGTGTTATCTGATATCAAAGCCCAATGTTCAACATTTAACCATTTTTGCCAATCAAAAAGGTACCCCGATGGTTTGATTTCATTTCTGCTTTTTAAAAATATATATGTTTAAGACAAACACATTTCAAAACTGTGGATGGCAAGCATTAAGAAACCTCTACTGAGGGAATGGAGAGTACTGTACCTTTTCTAAGCTGATGTCAGCTGGAAATGTCCATAGAGATATTTGAAATTTCCTCTGTATGCAACAGGGAACAAGAAACAGCTTTATCTTTTAATGTTTCAGTGATTTCTGTATAATGCTGATTTAATGTTGAATATGGAGGCTATTTTTGCAATTTTATGATGATCTTGGTTTATATGAAAACTAATAGAAGATAGTGGGCCTTCACAGACAGTTGTTGGCAAAGCCCTTCTTGTTTCCTCCGCCTTGTTTCTAACAGAGTTATTTTTATTGTTGCTTCTCTTTTAGGCGGCCATTTTTTCCACCGTAGTTCTCTCTCTCCTCGGAGCCTGGTCTATGAAAATGACTTCTCTTCAATTGAACCTGTCTTGGACATGTACGATGAAAACAAGACCTGAAGAGGATCTGCATTCTTCTTGCTTTGCTCTCTTTCCCTTTTCCCTTTTCCGTTTCTCATTCTATTGTTGTGTACTCCTTCCATGGGTGTCCTTTGTCTGAAGAAGAGCTCCCTTTACCAGAACATCTGCCTGGCTGCCAGGCTGCAAAGGTGAAGTTCAGCTGAGGCAATATCTGAGGATGACGTCTGTGAACGGATGAAGTATGTGCACAAAAGTCGGCTGTTGGAGGTTGCCGAGTGACAGCATTGTCATTAGCAGTGCCAGCGTGATGGTGTCGGTATGCTAGAGGTTTGCCCTACTCAGTTATGATTTTGTACAACAGTCACCTCTCTTGAGTAGGCACATGATATTTCTCTTTTTTTCCCCCAAAAAAAAAAAATCGCAAACTTAGTTGCCTGATGGAGGAGTTGGGGGGGGCTAATTGCCTGAAGTGCTCCAGTTACTCTTCGTTCTATCTTTAATCTTATATTGAACATCCCCGTTTTAAAGGAATCTGAGAAATGCATTAATGTTCCACCTTGCCATAAAACAGGCTATGGCCAAATGGGCCAGTACAGCAACATTTACAGCCTGCAACATCCATATAAGCTTTGGGGGATTTTTGTACTTCATTGCTGAGCCTAAATATGGACAAAAGCTGCTTAGAAAGAATGCAAAAAACAAACAAAAAACAGAGCCATTTACCCATCCTTCTACTGAAGGAATCTCTGACTTCAACGATGCTGCTGAAATTTACATACCCAATATATCACTCTTGGATGATTAGGACTTATTAAGGTGAATCCAGGAATCAAAAAAGGGTATTGCTTGGTTTTTAGAAGACATGTTCTTTTTCACTCTGATTTTTAAAAAGCCAGTTTATGTTGATGTTACATGTTGAAAGAATGGGAAGCTTCCTTCCTACATGTTTTTACCTGAGATGACTGTACTCAAGAAGCAACAAACACTTTTCTGAAGCTGCACCTGTTCCAGAGAGCATCAGTATTAATCGGCAGCAAGGAAGGAAAGGAGCTGCTCTTTTGACATCCAAGAACAAATCAGTTGTTGCTATAATGGGATGTAAGCAGTAGGATATAGATATAGATGTTCTGATGCAAAAATGAACAGCAAAAAACAAGAACTATGACTTTTTTAAAAAGCTTTCAAAAGTGATGCTAAAGCAAAAAATATATACTCAGATTTGAAGTGTGTAATTGTGCATCTGAAGGGGCTTTTCCTACGGAGGATGCTGCGCAAAACATGGACAAATGTCTTCCCCCATATCTTGCAAATCTGAGCTCTATAGAGGTAGAAATGGTATCTTTTTAATGTGAACACAGGTTTAGTTCTCTGTGAACCTTGATTGTTGAAGAAACTGAAAACCAAAAGAAAAGGTAAGGAATGTTGTGTCTTGTATTTAGACCGCTTAAGCCAGGCAGATGAAAACTGTCTAGCTTTTTTTCATACAGCAACTCGGCTTTCACAGAATTCTTCCTGCCTTGGAATGTAGTGATGCAGAAACTTTGATGCAAAGATTTGAAACTAACTCTGTGAAGCTCTGTGATTCTTTGTTAACAGGAATGTTGAGTCTGTGTTCCCACAATGGCCATATTGTATATCTGATCATTCCTGACTAGATGATACAGAGCTTAGAGACAATCTTTTTAAATATATATATATATATATATGCCGGGTACATTTTAATATATTCCACTAACCACAGAAATTCAAACAGAAATCTTTTTAAAAGCACAGTCATTAAATATTTAGAAGATCAGTTATTATTACAAGACAACAGTGATATTACTTGAATGGAAACATACAAAAGTTGAATATTCATATTTCCTTTTATGAATGACCCAATAGCATTTAGATACACTTGTCTGTTGGAAAGAGATGTTACTTTATGTGAAGAATGTTCTCATGGAAAAGTGTTTAGCACATACCTGAAACCTTGAGAAGATAAACCTAAAACAAATCCCTCCCTCTCACCACTTTATGAAGGATAAATGTGGAATTATTCCTTAAGTAAAAGAATCATGTTGTCAGAAGGGCTAATTGGGGAAAAAACTGGCTGAAGTTAATTTTAAACGATAAACTGCTGACTAATCTGGACTTACTTAATTCTTATGATGGAGTTGGAAATACTACTTAATTTTCAGCAGCAGGTGTAAATGTTCAAATATGACTGTTTGAGTAGTCCATAAGTCCGTATTTTGAATGAACATTAATTGGATGGACTCTGAAAAATATTAATTAGAAGCAGAAGACAAAAAAAAATTCTGTTATGCAAAGATGCCAGTCCTAAGATGGCAGGGGGCAGGGAATGTAACCACTGTTTAAATCCTATCTGAAACAAATCATTGATAGTGCTTATTGTGGCTCATTTCTTTTGGACTGGGGCTAGAGTGGTTTTTGTGTGGATGCATTTGAGTAAGTTGTAATATAGAAACACAGACCTCTATTCCTACCATGTTTGTACAGTTTCAGTAAGATTTCCTGTGTTTAGTCTTCACCTCTTCTCTCCAAATCAGAGGTCTGTGGCCTGCAAATGCTGGTACTGAGTCATACCATTGTTCCCTCTGTAGACATTTTGTCTTTATTCTGACAGTCACTGGCATTCCAGAATCATGAGCCAAGAGTCTTTCCCAACCTTGGTACAAGAGATCACTTTGGCTGTAAATGCCAGAGGCTAAAGCTTGGATTTTCTGCATGCAAACCCACTGCTTTAATACTGAGTATGATGGTCCTTCCCTGGCTTTGAACAGGTGAGACTGGTGACTCAGATTTCAGTGGACTTTAGTTGATTTTCCTGCCATCTATATTTCTGGCCTGAGGCAGTGTTTCCTTAGTTTGTCTTACTGTTTGCAATACTGGATTTTCTTCACCATGTTTTGACACATGACAGAACAGTTGTAAGAACCAAGATCAGTGTTTCCCAGCCTGGTGTCCTCCAGATGTTTTAAACTACAGTTGTTACTATCCCTGGCCTATTGGTTATGCTGGCTCCGACTGATGGGGGTTATAGTTCAAACAATTTGAACAAGTCTAGAATGGAAAAGGTCACTCTGAACAGTTGCCATATCAATGAGAAACACTCAAAAAGCATTCAGTTCAATTGTTTATAGGTTTCCCTTTTTAAAAAATCTAAGGTCTAAGCAAAGGGTGGGGTATGTCTAACCTGCCTTCAAAGGCTCAAATTTGGGTCCCCAGTACCCCAGGGGTTCCCAGACACCCTGTTCCTCAATTTAAAAATTATAAATGTTCTAAAGTTTTACGTTGCACAATCAGAAACAGAATGAAATTTGATGATCAACAATTAACTTTTATGGTGGTCCTTTTGGAGTAAGTTATGATGGCTTATGCTGAGGGAGGAGATAATTATTTATATTATGAGATATCATTCACTCATTTCTTTTACCAGCAGTGACTTTTTCAGAACTAGGACTTCTGCCCATGAAGAAGTATATACCAGTTCATTCTTGAGAGTGGGATGTATGGACATACCTGCCCAAGAATGATAAACAATGCTCACTAGTTTGAGGATAGAGGCAAGGGCCGGTGTGGACTTATGAATCCACTCTCTAATCAAATATAATAGTGTGGGCAACAGTATTTTAAAGCAAAAAGAAATCAAATAGTAGAAAAACACAAGGTGCTCCTCAGGCAGAAAAACACTGGATCATTTCTTAAAAGTTGTTAAAATTGCATGTTAAAAGGTACATGAAACATTCATAGTACAGTTCACAAAGTGTGATACACATGTTTCCTACACAAAAATTGTCTCATATGGGGCAGGGCAGGAGGGCATACAAAGTGATTCATGGGGAAGGATGTTCCATAATTGTGATCAACCTCTGGGAAATGCCTTCATCAGATAACTTGCTTTATAGGCAGCATGACACAAGCTTGGTATATTCAGCCAACACACCTGGCCAGCTACAAAGCCCCAAACCGATCTGAAATTATACATTTTATATTATAGGAGTCTAGAATGATCACTTTTTGTAGGTTATTTGAGATTTGGAACTGAGATTTGGTTATAATTGACGAGAACGTTCGTTTCCAGTCTTACTCATTTGAGAAAGAGTAATTAACTGCAGTTATCCTTGCTAGATGTTATCCCACTATGACTGAAATCCTGTTGCTTACTTTAGTAGATCACAGCTAAAGTGGCCCATTAAATTAATGAAACTTACAGAAGTGTTGACTCACTAAATCCCTACTAATGCAGTATGCCTACTCAAGAGCAACTTACTAAACTAGGCAACAGGATTTCAGGCCATACTAATTTAATTGTTTGGGTAACATTCTGGCAGATGTGATGTTGAATTATAGTGCTTTTATTATAAATGTCTCAATTTTGTAGTGTTTCAGAATTGTACATGTTTGTAGAGCATGGCTAGACTGCATCTTCTCCTCAGTCACTGCCAGCTTAGCTAATTGTAAGGTGTAATGGGAGTTGCATTCCAATCTTCCCCATCACTGGTGTAGAGGACTAGTTTTGCAAATACCCTGTAAACAGTGGCTCAATTAATTGAAATTATTTCTTCTTATTTTCCCATTATTATTCCAGGTTTTATTACTGGTGCTGTAGCAAATTGTAGCGATAGACACACTTTATGGTGGATTTATGGATGGATACAAATAGTTCACACACACACACTGGAGGATTAGGCATGCATTCTTTTTCCTTCACATACACACAACCCAGTCACATCACACTGTGGGCAGCAAACACATAATGCAGAGGCCCACACATGCAACTTGGTTTCGTGTCTCCTCATCTGTGCATAAATCACCATTCTTACCATGCATAGCTTGGTGAGAAATAGTATGACTCACCTTTACCAGTGTGTTAAGAGTATTGCTGGCTGGCTTGGTAAGTATATGAATGAAAGCTGGGTTTCTGCCTGCCTTTTTTTGAAGAAGTGGACTTAATACAAGGAAAGCTTCTTATATGCCTTTAACTTGTACATGACTTACCCATGCATTCATTACTAAACAGCCCTAAAAGAGTTCAATTAAATATATACTAATGAGAAAACTTGAGTAATGTAATAATGATAACTATATACACAAACCTTAACGTAGGGTACTTATTTTCTGCTTTGCTAGAGTTTTCCATGTGCCCTTCTTAAGAATATTGTAGCTAGTTAAGATAGAATTCATTTAAGAGCATTTGGTTGTATGCTTTATTCATACTGAAATGATGATTTCTGTAAAGAGCTAATACTAGTTAATGTTGTCAAAGAGAATGGAAAGAGGTAAGTCAGTAACTTTGTAGAAATACTGTGTTGATATGGGCAGTACAGACCTTAACATTTTTTGAGTCTTAAACAGAGTGCAGTAGCAAACATGAAATCTGTTTTATTTGTTGCCCCAA